CCACTCGACCAGGTTGAATTCTAGAGTTGTACATTAGTAAGAGTTGGAAACGCGAGGCATGGTCCGCTTACTGTATAACGTATAGAAGTACCACCAAGGCTCATCGGCCGGTGGTCCTTCAAAAATCCAGCCATGATCTCGGAGAGAATCGGGCTCCAGCGCATCCAGAGAGAATACAAAGAAATAAAAGACAATCGGAATGGTGATGATGTACAGAGGTAAGAAGTACTTGGAAGCACCTCTGGTCTGGCTGTAGAAAAGGACAATGGCCAGCAAGAGGGGTATCAGCCAGAGGAGTACTGTGTCAGACTGGAAGAGTTTGTGGAGGGTGTCCATGTCGTATTCCAGACTGCCATCCATTCTGGCAGAAACCTCGAATCCCGTGGCAACAAGGAACCAGCCGACACCTCCAATGCAGCCGATCAAGATGTGCCTCGGGATGAAGCCAACCATGTAGCCAAAGTTGAACTTGCCCATGAGATAGAACACTGCGCCTGTCATCATAGAACTGATAGCATATGTGACAATCGTCGTTGCGATTACAGCGTCTGGCTGGTCTTCGCCAATATGGTCCGTAATTGTTTGGGCCATGTTATGGAAAAAGGGTACGACCTCGATCTGCGGGAGAGTCAGCAGAGACCCTAACACATGACCTGGGGAGAACTCACCAATTCGGAGCCGACGCCTCCCTTGAAAATACTGCCAGTTGAGAAGGTCAACTGCGAAACAATGGTGCTAACATAGAAAATGGAGATGCCCGCCGAGCCCAGCCCAGCAAAGATGGGCTTGCCGAGGGGGAACAAAATCATGCCTAGTCCAGTTAGAACAAATGCCGTAGTTTTGGAGACCATTTTAAGAAAGGGACATACCGTAAGATAGCGCATCAAGAACATTGAGCAGCAATCCGACAATGACAGCCGGTAAGCAAGATACTGGGGCCACCACGGCATTTTGCCATAACGCTTGGCGGTCCCAAGCTTTGGGACTCGTCGCAATCTGATAACCATGAACGATGCGCTCCTCGACATTCACAGTGAGGTCCTTCAGACTTCCCAACCACCGCTTCTTCGGTCGCTGTTTCTGACCTTCCACGTCGACTTCGGTGCTGGCCCCGCTCGTGTTGTAGCTCTCGAGGCTATCGGACGATAACCTGGGGATCAGGGGAGTACGCTCGGTAGGCTGCCTCACAACAATCCTGGCCGGTTGCTGCACCCCTCGTTCCTGTCTCTCCGCAGAGAGCGCTCTCTTCGGTTCGGGGCTCGATGGTTCCAATGGCTCGGAATGGGGCTCCGGTGACGGGTCTCGGTGCGACTGAGGAGGTGACTTCTTGAGCAGGTTCGTCAAGATGGAGGGGCCGTCCTCTGGTAGTTCGTCCTCGTCTCCATCCGGGGACGGAGGCTCCGATACCTCTTGTATCGTCTCGGAGCTCGTTGCATGCGTAATTTCGTCATCGTCATCCTCCTCGTTGTCCGAAATAGCGGTTTCCCGTGCGAGAGCTGACGACTGGGAGCGTTGGCGTGAGAGAAACGCCGGGCTCTGGCCCGTCTTCTTGTCGGACAGTAGATACGAGGCGAGTTCGGCCGTATCTTCGCGCACGCTGCGGGCGAACTGGGCGCTGTCGACGGGGGCTATAGATTGCATGTTAGCTGGTTGTGCGTCCTGGATGACGTATGCGCCGACCATGGGGTGCTTGCCTAGGTGGTCCCTCACGTTGCCGTGGATGAAAGAACGGATCGGCTCCCGGTGACTCGAGCTCACGGAAGATGATAGTAGAGTTCTCGAATCGGGAGCATTCTGCGAGTTCCGGCCAGGACTCAGGAGCGGGTTTTCCGGGTTAATCTCTGCGCTGTTCCTCTGGGATCTCTGGGAGCTCAAGGAAGCGGCTCTCCTCCTCCATGGAGAGAAGCCGGCAAAGTTGGGAGAAGACATGGCAAAGGTAGCTAGCTGGGTGACTGAGTATGTTGACAGTTGGTGTTTAGGCACCGAGGATCACCGTTGCACCTCTTGAAGGCGCCAATTGTCAGGGTGCCAGGCCGGTGGTGCGGCTGTTCTTGCAGGTTTTACGTCGTGGAAAACATGAGAAGCTGAGCTGGGGTGTGCGCGCGAGAGGAGAGAAATGTGTGGTGGGTGTCGGCGCAGATAAGAGATGGGAAAGTGTCGTACACCGTAGGAGATAGCAGACGGACGGGGCCAGATCTACGGACAGAGCCAGGATGGCCCGTGTAAGTCGTTCTGGTTTCTGGGTCGTGAGCGGAAAGGCTCCAAAGGCTAATAAAGCCAAAGAAGGGTTGGATGGAGAAAGATGGAAGAAGAGCACGAACCTGGAAATGGGAACTACCAAGTGGGTGGACGGGCTGGTTTAGAGCAGACGGGACGGAGATGGAAAGCGTGGAGACCGTGGAGAGCGTGAGAGCCACCTGAGAGGTAAGTTGAAGGTAAGACGTGAGGAAGTAGTGGAAGTGTACCAGAGAATTGGACGAGGTTCAAGAGGTTGTCGTCAACATGGCAAGGCATGGCGCGCGCAACGCAACAGCATGCAGAACGACGCAGCACGCAGCACGCAGCACGTAGCACGCAGAATTAGACGAACGACAAACCTTGATCCAGGTCAAATTTGCATTTTGCATGTGGCCCCTCGCCCCTCAGTAGCGTGCCTCCTACGGCATGCTACCACTTTTACTGCATGGTAGGCACGCAAGTGCTGGGTCCCAAGTCGCCCAAGTCCCCCAAGCTTGCCAAGTTATGGAGGTACTTCAATTGAGGTACCTACCGCCTGGGCTGTTCCTGAGATGCTTGTCCCCTCTCTTTACGGCTAGCCAGCACAAATCCTCGTGGTCTCTTGGTGCGGGCATTCCGCAGCCCATCGCAGTCCGGGTTGCCGTTACCACCGCAGTCTGTATCATCATTAGTGTATGAACTATGAAGACCTACGCAGTATGTCTACATTTTGCTGACTGCCCGCGGATGGGTGCCGATGGCGCTCGACTCTCAAGTCGCACTACGTAACGCCCGCGAACAATCCCTGCACCTACAGCACGGCGACCCCTCCAGTGAGCCACTTACAGCCGCTGCAAGGCAAATGGAATGGCGAAATGGTTACGGAGTACCTTAGCAAATATCCCGTGCTGCACAACGAATGGTTGGACTGGAAGCACGGCAGACCAACTGGGCAGCCCACCCTCTCGAAAAGTCGGCTCCCCCACTTCGGATCCAAGGATTTTTTCCCCCTTCTACTGCTCTTCGGCGGCCTGGGCTACTCTCTGCACACCCTCACTTCTTCTCTCCCTCCATCGTGGATCGTGGTATGGTACCTACCTGTGCCTGTATATCCGTACCCTCCGCTCTCCATGACTTCCTAACAACAATCCAAGCATCAGGCTCTAGACCGTGGGCTATCCAGTGGGCCGTGGGCCGTGGGCCGCAGGCAACATACGGAGGGGAACGGAGGCCAGACGCCCGCACCGTCGAGCGGGTGTCTCTGTCTGGTGTATCAAGATTCAAGAGTGACCATATCCCAGCCCAAGCTCATGTCTGAAAGAGCCAATGCAATGCATCTTCAAACTCTGCTTCCTTCACAACTCTCGCGTGGGGTAATACGGCGTGTCAATTGGAGAATTTGGCGTCAATTGCTCGTCATCGTCTCCCTTTAATGGCTCGACGTGTTCTGCAACGCTGCAAGACGTACTAATAAGCTAAGGTCACAATCAGCAGACTAATACCTTTGGCCCGCCGTCTCCTACTTCGGCCTACATCGGCCCTCCCCTGCTAAGTTGCTGAGGTATACTGTTACTGTACCTCATGGCCAGGACCATAGGTCGACAGTCAACCAACAGCGACCATGATGCGGCGCATGATGCAATGCAGCGCACAAGGCCATGCCTGTGCTGCGTGACTGAGCTGCTTTGTCCACAACCGACTGGCTTCCCATATTGCGGCTCCAGCTCGTCAGATGGCTGCCCTGCTTTGGATTCGCCTCAAGAGACGTTCAAGGTCGTAGACATGTCTGAGGTTTCAATGCAGCCCGATCTTCCCATGTCGCTATCGCTTTTCGTTCTCCTCATCCGCCGCCGATATCGCGACATCTGATGTTAATTCCCCGCGCGCCACCACAATTGGTCCAAGTTGTCGCACACTGGCTTGTTATTGAGGTGGCCCAAGAAGTCGAGGTGCACGTTTGGCTGCCACATGCGAGACATAATCCCCAATTCTCCCCTCATCGCTGACAAGCCAGCAGCAAGGAGCCCGTTACAGACTCAGTCAGCCCAGCAACCCTAGATATGCCGCATGCCATCTTGGCCCCAGATTCCGTCACTTGAACCTCCATCAGACCCTTTTTGCGGGGCTCATTGTGTTGTTGCTATGCGAGCCACTAAATTTGGCCCAGAGCCGGCCGCATCGGAAGCCGTCCGCGATGCAGATCTTGGCCCCCATGTTGCTCCGGACCAGGCCTCATGTTTGCAATAACGTTGCTCTGATCCATGGCAAGAGAGAAGTCGCCTGTACCGCTTGGTCTCTTCTCGCGAGCCCGGTCGCTCACAGCCCCTTGAAACTGCATGTGTGCATCCCGCGTACCCCGCGAAGTGCCAGCAGAGTATTGCTCACATGTTGAGATGCTCGCATGATCTTGACGCATCGCACCAAGTTGTTTTGCCGGCAATGGCACCCCACCTTGCTTTTGACGAGAACATCGAATTTTATCATCCATGCAAGGGTCTTGTCAAGGCAGCCGTACGTCTGTACCACTCGAGCTCCACAGATCTCCAAGAATGGGAGATATGAAGACACATTCCTCTTAGCATCGTTGTCTTGAGACTCCGAGGCCAACCAGCCAGGTCGAGGTCGTTTTATGGGCATCAGCTGAGTTTCTGGAGATAACCCTGTGCTATGAGCCGCTCCACATCACCCTGTCTGACATAGAACTGACTGTTCTTGGTCAAGTTGATGGCGCTAGATCCCCGGCGTCAGACGTAATCCTTATCTGCGGTTCAAGAGGTTCAAACTTACCCGTATTCGGTCTGGATCTCTCCTGCATCCTTCAAGACTCTCACGTCAATGAAGAGGTCTCGCGGCGGCTCCAAGCTGCCCGTCAAATCGATGTCCGTCCATTGCCCTTTGTAGGCAGCCAACAGATCGCCGTACTGCCTCACATACTCCTCCTCTTGCGGACTAAGACTGCTCGTAGGGCCGTCGGCGTTGCCATTAGGACCCCCCGTTGATGATCCCGCATTGCCTCGTACTTGTTGCCCGGCCAGATCAAGCACATCGATGCCCTTCCATGCCAGCTCTTCCAGCTTATCTGTCCGAGTTCGGTGGTATGCGAGAACGCATCGCTTGTTCCTTCGCATGGAGAGATAGTTGACGAGGACTGTGCAGGCTGTCGCTTGGTTGGTGGTTGGGTCGAAAGAGCCCTGGAAAGGTTCAAGAACCTCCGTCACATCCTTTTCGAGGTCTCGAACTTCGCGCGTGACGGCGCGTACTATGTCGGCTTGGTACGCTGGCAAATGCGAAAGGTTTTGGGTTCGTTTAGCATGTTGCACCTGGCGAACGCGTTAGCTTTTGGCAATTACGTGACGAAAGGCTGTCTCTGGGACTGCTCATACCAATTTATTGCCCAAGTCGCCGTACATCTTGACAGAAAGTATTTCAGGCTGGGCAAGCGAATGTGGGCTGGTTGTGTTGCTGCGGCTGGCGCGTCTCGTGTCGACGTTCGCGTTGCAAGCTTGAAGCTGGCGGGTTCGCAGGCACAGTTCACAGGTGTGACAAGCTACTCGAGTCGCGTTGCATTGGCTTGCTTACCCTTCCGGGAGGGCCCTCGATGGAAGCGAAGAATTGCCCCTCACTTAGCGCCGCCCCACCTTGATACACATTTCACCTTTGTCGGATTTTGACTGGGCGAGGGCAAAGAGTCATCAAGGTCGAAAGGTGCCAATTCGACCCCTCATTCATGATTCAAAAATCGAGACGCAAAGAGATTAGGAATTGGGAACGTGATGTTGTCTTCTTCATAAGGTTTTCATAACCTCATTTGTATTCATAAAAGGCCTTAAGCCCGCACTCTTTGTGCAACAAAGGACGCTGCCTTTGTTGGTGCCAGAAACTGTTGCGTTTCCTGAGCCATAACCTTTCTTGTGAGGATTCTATGGATTTTTTTTCATGTCTCCACCATCATGCCTCGTGAAATCATCCCTCACGTTCATCATAAAGCCCCTTTACAGCTTCTGCATAGCAGCAATGTCCACAGACTGGACGTAGTCCTCAAGCTCGGCAATCTCCTCCTCGAGATCAGACAAGCTGATCTTCTCATCCTCGACAACGAGGTTGATCTGGAGCTTCTTGATACCGAAACCGACGGGAACAAGCTTGGAGGCACCCCAAACCAGACCGTCGTGCTCGATGGCACGGACACCAGCCTCGAGGGCGGCCATGTCAGTCTCGTCATCTGCAGTATAGTCAGCATAATGTCCTTGATTTATGGTTCGAGCAGAAATCCTTACCCCAAGGCTTGACATCCATAGTGACAACGGACTTGGCAGCGAGCTTGGGCTTGTTGTCCTTCTTCTTCTTGTACTCAGCAAGGCGCTCCTCACGGATGCGAGCAGCCTCGGCGTCCTCCTCCTCGTCGTCAGAGCCGAACAGGTCGACATCATCCTCGTCCTCCTCGGCGGCGGGGGCCTTGGCGGGGTTCACGGGGAGCTCAGTGGCCTCAGGTCCGTAGACGGAGTAGGACTTGGACGCATCACCGGGGAGGGTGGCGAAGTCGCTCTCGTAGGAGGCGATGTGCTTGTACCATCTGGCGGCGTGGGGGTACTTCTCGGCATCAGGAGCGGACTGAAGAGCCTTGAAGGTGGCAACGTCGGCCTGGGAAGGAGTGGAGCTGTGCCGATTGTTAGCGGCGATGTCTTGCCCAAGTTTGCTTTTGCGAGATTAAAGTGAATGGGTAAGGCGGGGGTCAGAGTTGCACAAAGTGCTGGTTTTGTCGTCAAATAGCAGGTCTTGAGGCTGCCTCCGAAACACGGACCAATTTTCCTCATCATGTAATGCCAAAAGGGAAGTCGAAGAAGGGTAACTCGGGAGCGGTGAATGAGGCGTTGCAGACTTACCCGACGATGTAGGAGCGGGTGGTGAGCCAGCTGTTCAGCACTGACACGATTGTCAGCCCGTGAAAGAAAGAAGAATCATCGCTGCAGAAACTTACTGGCAGCACCAGCATCAGTGAGAAGGTCGGCGAAGCCCATTTTTGCGTTTTGAAGAGTGTGTAGAGGGAAGGGAAAGGGGTATCTGTGGAAGAAGCAGAAGAAGGAGGATGTGTTGAGGTTCAGGTAGAAATAAGTAAGTGAAGGTGGGGTTGGGAAGGACCAGGTCGAAAATTTTGAGATTGCGGTGCTCTTCACTCAGGTTCTGAGCGGCACGGACCCCACCATCCTGGTTGCCCAGCGCCAGACCCCTCTTCGGAGCAAGGACGGGCCGGGAGAGCAGAGCCCCTGCAGTGGATCCAACGACGGGTGGGATGAGGTGGATGGATCCGACGCCGCCAACCCACCTCAGGCGGTAGGCAGGGAGCTCCTACGCAATTGCAGTCGATAGCTCCAAACGAGACCAAGCTCGACCTTACGCCAATCGCCCTTCTCCAAATCACCATACAAACGACTACCAATTCCGGACTTCACGACAACAACCCGCTGTTCCTCATCTCATCGCACAACCCCGAACTGAAGACACACCATGTCGTCGTCGATTCTGCCGATAATCACCTTCAAGGCTGGTATCTGCGAGGCAGACGTCAGTAGTGCAGTTCCGCCATCACTGCAGACCCTGGTTCGCTGACATCTATCATAGACCTCCAGCAAGCCTTACAAGATCAAGCCGCAGGCGACACCTGGTTACATCTACCTCTACTCCGAAGATGGTTCGTATGGTCGTTACCGATATCTCTTGCAGATTCCTAATAAGTCACAGACTTGATTCACTTCTGCTGGCGAGAGCGCACCGCCACCATGGAGAATCCCGATCTCGACCTCGTCATGGTGCCCATGGACGGTGAATTCGTCGCTCACGCTGCCGCCGATCAACCCTCAGCAAAGACCAACGGTCGCGTCTTTGTCCTCAAGTTCGGTTCTTCCTCCCAGAGACACTTCTTCTGGCTCCAGTCCAAGCCTCAGTCGCGCAACGGAGACCCCAGCTGGTTCAGCCCGCGCGACAAGAAGATTGGTGAAATCGTCAATGCGCTTCTCCAGGGCGAGGAGGTCAACGTGAGCCGCGAGCTGGCGCAAGTTCGCAACACCGACGACAGGCGAGACGATGACGATGACGAAACGATGGAGGATGCTGAGGGCCAGGGTGACCGGCACGAACAGTCCCAGGGAGGCAGCGGTGGTGCTGGTGCTGGCGCCACAGGAGGCGATATCAGAGAAGAAGGCGAGAATGCCAGAGAAGGCGGAGGTGATGGAGCACGAGCGTAGGTTACTTCCTCATGCATGGCTCTGGCGGTTGGAGTCCAGGGTCATTAGAGTTACACGGGCTACATGGGCACTGGCGAGGAAAAAGACGGCCCGTCTTATGGCGTCACCTGTACTTTTAGAGCCTTTCAAAAGATAAGAGGGTTCGGAGTTTTGGCTTTTCAGCGCAGTGCCCATGGCTTGACTCTTCCATTGTATGCTCTTTGTGCTAATCGCTTCATAGTGCCGCTGGTGGCTCCAACACTGACGCGGATGCTGCCGTTCGGAACTTCCTGGCATCATTACAAGGCAACGCCAACTTGAGCGGATCACAGCAAAGCGGGCAGCAGCAACACGCAGATAAGCCTTTCCCATACCTAAGCCATCTTCTTCCGAACGAGATCACCATTCCAATGCTTCGATCAGCATCGGAGGAGTTCATTGACAGCCTTTTGAGCTTTTTGCCCCCCGCAATCGTCGTGCTTGCCACGGAGGCAGACGACCTGGGAGACTCTGAGCCCACGGCAGACGCTGCTGCTGCCGCCACAGCCACTTTGAGCCTTGCAGAGAAGAAGAGCCTGCTGGAGAGAGTGCTCAGAAGTCCCCAGTTCCACCAGGCACTTGGGAGCTTGACCATGGCGCTGCGCGATGGTGGTCTTCCTACAATTGCGGAGGCTCTTAGCGTTAAGGTGCCCAATGGCGGTTACATGAGGGGTGGTGCTATGCCCTTGGGCGGTGGCGAAGCGGTAGAGGCCTTTGTCGAGGGCGTTAAATCAACCGTCAAGGAGAAGAAGCAGGGTTAGACGAGGCTTGGATGTTGAAATGATAGAGACCGAAACGATAGACTGCCTGATATTCAGATTCTCGTCTGGCATCTAGCAATGACAACAATGCATCCTGTGAAGACTCTCTAACTGGTGATTCAGATTTAGTGCAAAATCTCTAGGAGGAACTGGATACAGAAACATGATGTAGATGTCCCGAGCTAACTTATTGCGTGCGTCCTACATGTTGGACGGTAGGGAAGTCGATACACTCCGTAAACAACTAGAGGGATGCGAGGATCAATGGGAGAAGAGGAGTCAATTGTTTGGAGAGTCAATTGTTTGGAGAGTCAATTGTTTGGAGATGCAATTGCTGCGAGATTCTATAAAGACAGACGAAAAACATTCGACATATCTATCAGAAGCCATCAGAGGCTGGTCTTACCTCGCTTACAATATTGAGAGTCTTTTCCCTAAGCCCATCTATCCAAATAAGGTAGTTGTTGTTAGGCAGGCAGTTCATCCTGGTCATTTCTACTCCCGACGTATTGGAGAACGGGGAACCTGGAAACTCATAGTGCTGGGTACGTACCTAAGGTTGAGGGACGACAGGACCCCACATTGACCCCAGTCCCTGCACAGTTGGCCCACTAACGTCACTGGAGAATGCGATCGGAATTCGTGCATAGATTCAAGCCAAAAGGTGTATTCCGGTTTCAAGCACTTTAAGCATTATCCCAGACCTCCACAGCTTTCAGAATTTTCCAACCCGTGGGATTCTTGTCTTGACGCCCTCAGCATTCCTTCTCACGATGGCGGATCAATTGAAGGACCCTCTGCCAACCTTCGTTGAGGACTTTGGCAACGACGAGCGCATCTCCTTCTCCAAGCTCGATAACAAATACCTGGCCGTCCTCGACGACGGCACCGAGCTCGAGTTCGACCCAGCGACATCCACGTGGGACGAGGCCGCGGACGAACCCATAGAACCACTCGACGACGAAGACGAGACCGCGGCGCAACTGGCAGACCTCTCGAGAGCCGGCGCCGGCCCGAGTTACAGCAACGGAGGCAGCAGCAACAACCCAAGGAAACGGAAGGATTCGCCCACGTCAGCAGATGCCGCCGGCGGCGGCGGCGGTGCAGACAGACAACAGAGCGGTGACGGCAATGGCGACAACGGCAACGGCAACGGCAGGGCGCGTCCAGCAAAGAAGGCCAAGCCGGCGCGCGCACCGCCGCCGCCGCGCCAGAACACGGCCGTCTACGTCACCGGTCTACCCGCCGATGCGACGGTGGACGAGGTCCACGACCTCTTCTCCCGAAAAGCCGGCGTGATTGCCGAGGAGATTGACAGCGGCCGGCCGCGCATTAAGATGTACACGGACGAGGCCGGCAACTTCAAGGGCGACGCGCTCGTCGTCTTCTTCAAGCCGCAGAGCGTCGAGATGGCCATTATGCTGCTGGACGACACCGAGTTCCGCTTCGAGCCGGGTCCGACGGGGGCAACAGCACCGAGGATGAAAGTCCAGGCCGCCGACTCGAGCTATAAGAAGACAAAGTACGACGAGGACACGAAGGGTGCGGAAGGTGGGGATAAGAAGGGGGAAGGAGATGCGGCCGCCACCGCTCGGCCGCAGCGGAGCACGAACAACGGGGACAAGCAAAAGATTATCCGCAAGACGCAAAAGATGGCCGCGAAGCTGGCGGACTGGAGCGACGACGACGTGGCGGCGGCGCCGGTGGAGAGCACATCGAAGCGCAACCGGACGGTGATCCTGCGGCACATGTTCATGCTGGCGGAGCTGGAGGAGGACCCGGCGGCGCTGGTGGAGATCAAGGAGGACATTCGCGACGAGTGCGGCAAGCTAGGCAAGGTCACCAACGTGGTGCTCTACGACGAGGAGCCGGACGGCGTGGTGGCGGTCAAGTTCTCGGATACGCAGGCCGCGCAGGCGTGTATCCAGCTCATGCACGGGCGGGCGTTTGACGGGCGGATCGTGGAGGCGAGTATAGCGAAGCCTCGGGAGAAGTTTAAGATGTCCAGGGGACAGGTCAGCGATAGCGACTAGGTACTCTGTGTTTTCCATCTCTTTGGAGACGGTTGGTTTTCGGATTGGGAGGCTTGTATATATAGAATTGTATTACCGGAGACCGCAATGACGCATGGTGCGGGAAGAAGAGCCTTCAATGGCAGTATACCATATCAATTTGGGCAGCTTCAAACGTTTGATTGACACTCCTAGACCGCGTGTGCCTCGCTTTTTGCACGGCCAAAACGTAATGCAGGGATGACCGTCAACTGGCACCTCTTTTGAATCCATACAGAAAGACAGGGGCATCAGAGTTGCCGGTACTGTGGCCAGCAAGTAAGCAAGGGGTAAAGGATATAGAGTGAGAGCATATTCAGCATTCAAGTCTTGATGGCACTCCGATGTCTACGATTCCCTTCTTTGGGATTCTACTCATCATTCAACAGACACGTACACCACCCGTTAAGAAGATGATAACATCAACGTGTCAAGTTGTTTGTTTTGTTCATCTACTTGTTTCTGATCTATCAAGACTCCTCCAACTCCAGGCCAAATTTCAATTTCGTGCCAATCATCAAACGCAAATCAAAACAGCAACCCCTGATTTTTAACTGCTGGAAACTGTGTTTGTGTGTGCGTGTATGTGTGTCTGGATAAGCACTTTCAACGCGAGTAGCGTAAAAACTGCCCGAGTCTTCTCCAGGCATGGAGAAGAGTCTCAAGCAGCCCTCTCGGCTTGGATGTCTGTTCTCTCGGAAACGACGTACCATATGGCAGCCTCAATGATCTTGCACACAATCCTCAGCTCGTGGTCATCTGTAAGGTACAGTCAGCATTGGTGAAAACCGATATGGGCCAGACCTGATTTCCTCTGTCTCCCTTCCCGCGATAATGTTTTGTTGTATCGCCTTCGTGATGGCTCTCTGCTGGAACCAGAAAAAGAGTGAACTGTGGGACATCTAGTCGTCACCCGCCGCCGTCATGGAGAGCAAGCAGCGTTTTCCCCAGAAATCCAAGAATCATTTGCTTGTTTGTGAAGAAACGTACCTCGTGGAGCATATACCATGACGAACTCTTCCGGCACGGGCATCCTCACCAACGTCCCCTTCCACGCCAACGGATGCCGCTGGCCCCAGCCCTTGGCCAGCACCTCTCGAATGTCTTCGGGATGGAGGTTCATGTGCAAGCTGTGATCCGAGTCGTGAACGTGGCAGACCTCGCCGTTGCACGTAACGTTCACGGGGTGCCGCGCAAACAGTGCCAGGCCGTGCTTCTCAAGACAGGACCTCGCGGTACCGAACTTTCCCGGGCTCGCGGCCGCGAGCTTCTGCAACGTCTTGCGGAGGGCGTGGTAGTGCGGTACCGTGCCGTGCTGATCCAGTTGCCTCTGCGGCGCGATGCCGGCGACCTGGGGTCGGGGACCGGGACGGTAGGGTAGGCGAGCGAGGTCTCCATCCTGGCGGAGGATGCCTCGCTTCGGGAGGATGTTTGGCCTCGCCTCCGGCGCCGTAAAGGGGTCTCGAAGTGCCCAGAGCCGTAACCAGGCTATCCGAACGTAGCCCTGGAACGTAGCAGGCGTGCCGCCCGGTCCGAGGCCGAGGAAGTTGTGGTAGTCGTTCCGTACGAGCAGTAGGATGGGAACGATGACGAGGAGGGTCTCGGCGATCCTGGGTTCGAGGAAGTGGATGATGAGGGCCAGAGTCATGGACAATGTGAAGATGGCGGGGCCATTGAGAGTGACAGAGATGGCTTCCTGCTTGAGGACGCAGCTCACGGAAGCCTGGTCGAGATCCAGGCCCACGCCGCAGGCATGGGGGGAGGCAATTGGCTCTTCATGGAGGAGGGTTGAGGCCGACGAGGTGGTGATCGCGACGGACATGGCTGGCTTTTCTTGTTCTTACGAGATGTTGAGACGCATGGGCACTAATATGCACAGCCGCCAGGCTCGAGGAGGATGGGATGAGGTGACTTCGAGCGCGGTGGATTTACAACGATATGGAAGAGATGGAGCACGATATAAGTAGGTGAACCGAGAAAGAAGAAGAGAGGAAAAAGTTTGGCGAGGGAAAGCGAACGCAAAGTAAGGGTATGTGGTCAACCGGACCTGACACACGAACGAGTGACCACGAGGTTCGACTAACCACCGGGGGGTCTTGTCGCAAGTCAGACTACCTTATGCGGGGTCGTGGGAGCTGGGCGTCGAGGTGACTGTTGATCAAGTGACGGTGTTTGACAAAAGGGTCAAATCTGAGTGGCCAGTTTTAGGTGAAGGGAAGTCTGAACCACAAGCCGCATATAGCCTTTGGCCTGCAACTCTTTACACTAGGCTCGTGCGAGGTAGAGATAGGCAAAGTTCCCGCCTCGGCGACCAAGCTAGGGCAAAGCCAGTACCGTGTACCGTGGCCCTGTATGCATCAGGCCTCCTGTCCACCGACTTTCTGAGGCAAGCAAGAAGCCGTTGTAATGCAGCCCTCAGTCAACGCAGGACCCTTGCCGTGAAGTGGTCACTCCGCACGCTGAAGCGGTGCACTTATCGACCGCGTTTTTGAGACTTATCAACTACTCGAAGTGAACGGAATATTGGTAGAAGTTGTCATGCGTTCAACGGTAGCCGTCCTACGCCTTGGTGTTGAGTTGAGGTTGCAAGGTTCCACCGCCAGTTCGGGGCAATGTTACCCAGGCCGCCGGTGACGGAGGGCTTCCTGGGGCCCCCGGGACGGTGAGAGGTCAGGAGGGTGTGCTTGAGTTTGAAAGGAGCCGCCGGAGCACTTTGGGGCCAACGGATGCTTGTCTCCACCGTGAGGGGCGCACTTGTACAACTCGACGGCGGCGGGTCAGCCGATTTCCTTCCGAATATGTCTTCATTGGCTGGCTGCAGAGTGACGACTTTCGTAAAGATATCCAAGAGACGATTTGTTGCTTTGCTCGACATCTGATGTTGATTGATCCTCAGCTCGTATTCTCAGGTGACGGCGATGCACTGCCTCGGAGACTATTGACAGCTACCCAAGCATAACAAGCTCCGAATTCCAGCAGCGAGTGCCCAAACAGAATCTTTCGAATTGCACGCAGTTGGGTAATAACAACAGTGCGAGAGTCTCGCTGAAGAACCTCAGAACAGAGTTGCGTTTTGCAGTCAGGGTGACCACGTCTCTGGAGACACGATCCCACCAACGGGAAAGTAGGCCGTGTGACTGTGACTATAGAGTTTGCGCATGTTCAAAAGCATCGAACTGTCCTCTCTCCCTTTCCCGCCTGAAGCATTGAGTGACAGAGGAATTGACTGGGAATGAGAAAACGGCACAGTACATGAACCGGCATGAATCTAATAGGAATGTGGCTTGCCGTTGTCGTGAAGTTTGCTGAGACCGGGAGACTATTCTTGTCGGCTGCGGGCCGTGTTGGGTGAGACGGGACGCGTCAAGGTCTTGCCATCGGAAAGCGCCAATCTAAGCGTTGCGGCACCTTTTGAACGCGATTAGATACGCCGTTATGCGGAGCTTGGGAGTTGGGTTGAACTAAGTGGGTGAATGCATACCTACCACCTCGCAGCCACGAGTTCAGGAGATAGCGTTGATCAGGGATGGACATAAGGTATGGATAGGGGGGTTGCATTGGGAGGGCGACTTTTTCTCTGTACACAGCGAGCGTACCACTGTACGTTGTTAGTGCTACAACGCAACCACAGTACGGGGATGCGCCGTAACGACTTCCGCCCTCAGCCACATGCATGACAAGATGAAAACTGGGTATGCAAATCGATATTCGCCTGCTAAATCTCGGCGTGTTCTAAATTTGTTCTGCTGGAATCTGCAAGGCCGACGAGACACGATTGACGGATTGGCGGACCGGTATGGCATCTCATTGCGATAATTTCCTTTGTCGCACTGGCACACTGCGTCGGTGCTTTCTTTGGGTAATGTTTGAAATGAGATGATGAGTCGCGGTCCGTAGGGATAGGCGTTCTTCGCTGGTGGTCTTGGTCGAAATTCGAATCCATCCTTTCTCACCAAACAGCTTGGCAGCATGACGTCGATTTTTTTGGAGACTCGAGAGGAGACACTGCGGGGTGCATGGATGGATCAGGATTCAGACTCGAGATTGAAGCTGGCTGAAGAAATGCCTCCCTCGAGTCGGACCGGTAGTTGTAGGTACCCTCACGGAACAATGGAGAGACCATGTCTCATGGCACAGCCAAGAGCGTTGAAGTAGGACTCAGGGCTCAGCAAAGGTTGAGACGAAACAGAGGAGCGCGTCCGAACTTGTTGCAGCTTCATCCGGTCTCATTGTGCAGGTCAGATGAGAGTTGCGACAAGACAGGAAACGATTCCATGTGTGGCGCGGGCGGTGATTGATTCATTCATCGGCTGCAGTTGCAAATTGCAGACAATCCCTCCTGCGGGTTGAAGCGAAGTGCGAATTGCGATTGGGGGCCGGCGAGTGATCCCTACCTGGCTACCTAGTCAGTTGCAAGTTGGAAACCCAGTAAAGTAAGCAGCGTCGGTGTCAGTTGTCTTCTTTCATCGTGATGTGATGGACCAAGAGACCAAACATGGTCAAGACTCGAAAGAGGAGTGTCCAGAAAGTGTCAGGATCCTTCATTTTGAAATTCGAGCGTCTTGGATTTGCTGGATTGCAGGAGGACGGGAAGTGGAACGCACCTTCAATCAAGGAGCCGAACCGTAGCGGGCAACCAGTCCCGGAGTTGGTTAAATGGTTGTCAGGGAGACCCCAGTCAAGCTTTTAGCGAGGAAGTCGAGACCAAGGCGACAACCCTTGCTGTGCTTCTGCAAGTTCTTGGAGACCCGCATTGGCGCGCACCCAAAATCCAGTCGTAGGCGGCGGGCCTAGGAAGAAAAAGCAGGAGAGGGCAGGCGTGCATCTTGCATCTTGTTCGTCGCTGCTTTGGGCCAAGGTCCCGGTGCGGCGCTGCGGCCCTTGAACCTTTCCTGGTCAACATCCAATAGGCAAAAAAAAGAAAAAGTCTGGCACCGACAGGATGGGGGGGGGAAGGGGGCAAGGCTGCAAGCTGGAGGGGA